TCTCCTCCTCCTCCTCCTCCTCCGCCTCCTCCTCCTCCTCCTCCTCCTCCTCCTCCTCCTCCTCCCCTCCTCCTCCTCCTCCCCTCCTCCTCCTCCTACTCCTCCTCCTCCCGCCTCCTCCTCCTCCTCCTCCTCCTCCTCCTCCTCCTCCTCCTCCTCCTCCTCCTCCTCCTCCCTCCTCACTCCTCCCTCCTCTCCTCCTCCTCCTCCTCCTCCTCCTCCTCCTCCTCCCCTCCTCATGCCTCCTCCCTCCTCCTCCTCTCAATCCTTCGCCAGGGAGGGGGGGGGTCCGACGCGCCGATCCGAGAAATCCGCGCGGACCTCCGAGTTTGCATTTTACAGTCGGGCGTTGCCTAAGGAACCCTCCTCCTCCTCTCCTCCTCCTCCTCCTCCTCCTCCTCCTCCTCTCCATTCGTTTCTCACTTTCCCCCCAGGCTCTCCGCCGATGCCCAGTGGGCAAGGCTCGGCGGGCGACCGAGCTGCGTCGAGAGCGTGGAGGATGTCAAGAGGTCATCGAGGATAAAAGAACCCCTTACCCTACAGTCGGGGCGTTGACCTAAGGAGCCCTAAATAAGGAGAGAGGCCCCTTTTTTCCATAAGCTCAACCTCGATTTCCCATCGGAAGCAGAAGGGAAACCTGAGGCAAGCTGTGAAACACTCAAGGAACGCGGAGCCCCTCCCCATTCAAAAGGGTTCCTTCTTCAGGGCCCCGACTGTATGTTATTGCTCGTTCCCCTGAAGATGGCACAGCGGCTTGAGGAGGAGGAGGAGGAGGAGGAGGAGGAGGAGGAGGAATGAGGAGGAGGAGGAGGAGGAGGAGGAGGAGGAGGAGGAGTGCTGGCAGCCCCTCCTCCTCCCTGACACGGGCCGCCGGCGCGGCACGCTGCAGTGGAAACGAGGGCGCTCACACGCGACCTCACGCGAGCAGCTTACGCGCGAAGGTCGGCGTCGCTGCTTGCCGTTTTGCTGCGTCGCTCAACTTAAATGAAGGGGCCCTAAGACACACAATTAAATACACGCAAATAAAATAGATCCCCATATCTTCCTATATTTTCTCGGTTTTTGTCTTCCCCCCCCCAATTCCCATATTTTCCCATATTTTACTGGGAGTCGACGATTAATTGTGTCTGTGTGTTTTTTCCCCTCCTGAACTTAGGCCTGACCATGGACATCACCGCCGCACCGCCGCCCTCGTCAGATAAGGAATATTCCAGGGTCTGAAGCCTCGTGGGCACATTCCTTAGCCAACGCCCCAGCCTTGCAGAGAATGGGTGATAGGCAGGAGGAGGCGGAGGAGCGGAAGGCGACAGCGGAGCGTCGCGAGGGGTGGAGGCGGAGCCGGAGGAACAGAAAAAAAGGCGACACGAGGATGGACGCAGCTGCCCCGCCGCGCTCCCGCGCTCCTGCTGGATGATGGCTGGATCAAGGCCAGGGCCGTCTCGCCACCTCTGTTCTGCAGCGGCGTTCTGCGGACAATCACCTGGCGCCGAGCAATTTCGGGATGGAAGCGCGTACGGTTCCGGTGGGTCGGGAACATGATGGCACAGAGAGTGGTGAGTGCGTGAGCTAGCCTGGAGGATTGGCCGGGGCAAGGCACGCTCAGAGGAAGTGGTGAGTGCGTGGGCTAGCCTGGAGGATTGGCCGGGGCAAGGAACACTCCGGGAGAAGCCGACGGCTCAAAAAAGGACGAGGCCCTTATTGTGCCCCCCAGCAGCGCCGGGGTGCACGAGGAGCGCTGGAGGCACAGCCATGGTGGAAGGACGTACCTGGGAAGCGCGAGCCCGTTCCGACCTAAGCGTGTGCGAGATACCAGGTTCCGTCGGGTGTGCCAGGTGTGCCCGGATGCGCCAGGTGCGCCTGGTGCGCCGGGTTCCCTGGTGTGCCGGGTGCGCCGGCTGCGCCGAGTGCGCCGGGTACACCGGGTGCGCCGGGTGCGCCGGGTACACCGGGTGCGCTGGGTGCGCCGGGTGCGCCAGGAGACCCGGCGCACCCGAAGGGCCCCTTGAGGGTACCCCGAGGGAGCACCAAGAGAACCCCAACGAGGCCTCAATCAGGCCCCACGATGGCTCCAAGAGTCTTCGTCCTCGTCGTTGTCATCCTCATCCCCCTCCTCCCCGTCCTCGTTCTGCTTCCCGTTGTTGTTCTCATCATTGTCCTCCTCCGCATCGTTCTCTTCCTTGTCCTCGCCTTCGTCGCCGTAGAGGAGGCGTGAAAGGAAAAAGCGGCACCAGCACCATCACAGCAGGATCTCACAATACCCTGCAGCACACTTGTAAAGCAACCCTGATACACACTGCAAACGACCCAAGATCGCCTCGAGAGCGTCCCAAGCTTTCGTCGTCATCGTCATCCTCGACCTCGTCTTCGCACTTGACCTCTGCGTGCTCCTCCTCCTCTTCCTCCTCCCCCTCCTCCTCCTCCTCCTCCTCCTCCTCCTCTTCGTCCTTGTCCACCTCCCCCTCGTTCTTGTCCCCGTGGTCGTCATCCTTCTCCACCTCCC